AGCGGGCGTGTCCACAGTTCAACCAGCTGCAAAGACAATGCCTGCTGAACAAGGCCACACAGCACCTGCTTTTGGCCATTTGTCTTTGACACCCTCCCCGACCAGCTCGCCGACCTCGCCGGGGTCGCCGCCCGCGGCGCCGGTGGAAGCAAGCTCCTCCGAACAGAGCGAGGGAGTCCGAGGAAGAGCCACTGGGCGGAATTAGAGCCGTGCGTGTGCGGGATCAACAAAAGCTGATGTGGAACTGGCGAGGTACGTTCGGATGGACGTTTTCCCTTCCATGTTTTCACCTCAAAAACGATGCGCCGAAAGGAATTCCAGCAGTGTTTTGATCGCTTCGTCCTTGGATTTGGCCTTTGCGTTGTTGTTTTGCGAGGTCCAAGCTGTGCGCCACGGTGATGATGCTCGCGTGTCCTCCATCGGCCCGCAGCGGGAGGAGCTGCGTCGGCTGCCCTCCGCAGCAGCTCCTCCCGTTGCGCCCCGGCGGAGTGGGACGGCTGGAAGTCTGAAGTTGCCCAAGAGGGCTGGAAGCATTCACTTTGCGCAGTAGGTCCGGCCGGACCGACGCGCTGTAGGTGATGTTCGGAGAGGACCGTCTGGACATTCGATCCTCTTTGGGTACCGGTTTTTTGAAGGGGAAATTGGAAGGACACGTGGAAGGAGAATCATATTGGAATACGCTTGCAAGCAAGTATGCTGTTAACAGAGCCCTGAGGCCCTGAGGTCACCAATGTGCCCTTGGTCACTTGGAACGAGCACGCATGAATGCGTGCAAGAGCTCTAGCTCCATATATTCTTCTGGGAACCCGACTCCTGATTCTTTTCTGCTTGTTTTCAGACATGTTTGAGAACCCTAACCCTTAAGGGCCCTTAAGCATCTTAAGCCTTATTACATACAGGACTTTTCCCCTCGCGCTGCATGCAGCCGAACGCAGCGCTCCTCCAGTGATGTCTCTCAACAGCTCTCGGTGAGGTTCCTGTTCAACGGTGTCTTTGGCTGTGGTCTCCCCATCAGTGTCATTTGGTCGATGGCTCTTGTGTTTTCCTTTGATCCGATTTTTGCTTCCACAGTTTCTTCTCACTTTTTAAAGATTGACGATAATTGATACCAGGACCCTCCAAGGGGTGTGCAATGGACTACCCCACACTACCTATAGGCTTCCATTGGACACCCCGGTCCAGGTATGATATGATTTGATCCAATGATTACGGAAGCCAACCGTCTCCGCTCATCGGACGACGAGAGAAGACATGCAAAACGCGAGACGCTCGCGGGCGATGAAAGCTCTTCTCCGGACATGCTGAGCCCAACGAAGGGCGACCGGACCGGGATCCCTCAAGGGGAAGGCGTGTGCTTCCCGGTGGTGCGGAATCAAAAAGGATGAAGCGTGCCGAGCGAAGAGCTGAAGAGCTTGATGGGTCTCAAAGGACACAGGGAGGCGACATATTCTAAAGGCATTCTCGTGAAAACAGCTTGCTTGTCACCCAAGTCTGCAGTGATTGCAGCAAGAAGCTCCAAGTCTGCAGAAGCGCCGACCGCAGGTACTGACCACCTCGCCCTTCTTCGGCGGTCAGGCATCTCACGACCGTTCCGACAGCGTGGCGCTTTCGCGCCGTTCTCACCGTCGTTGTTTCGAAACTGGGAAGCCGAAGAAACGCCGAGGAAACAAAGGCACGGGAAGCTGGAAACAGCCTTTTCCTTTCGGGTCTACTGGAGTACTAGTACTCCTGAGGAAACATGCAATGGCTGGAGCAGTACCTGTTTGGCTAAAAGACATTTCGATGTCTCCACGAATCAGTTCGACCTGTTCGCCCGTCCGAGCAGTTCGACCACCTCCAGGGTGCCAGCGCTCCCAGCGCCCCCAGCCGCCCGGCGACGCACGGCTCTCCTCCACGGGCGACGCCACAGAGGCAGTGGTGACCTGGCGGTGGTGGAGCTGCTTGTGGTAGGGTGGAGAAAGCTGACAATATGCTGACATCCATTCATAGAAGTTTCTGAAGAACAAACACGGCTGGTGAGATCTCCTGAGAGCGGTGTTTCTGTGTTCGTCTTCTAGTGTCGTTTTTGGGGAATTCTTCTCCTCTTCCTCCATCCTCCTCCTGCCGCTGCCGTGACCCACAGGGATCCACAAGCGACCCTTTTGGCTGAGCTGGGCTTGGCCTACAGCGGTCTCGAAGGCTCGGTATGGGTGACCGCGTGAACGGCCGGCCGTTTTCCCCGGATGCGTGCGCCATGATGAGGCTGCCAGAGAAGGTGAGTCCAGTAGGAGGTGAACAGATGGGGGGAAGAGAAAAGAGAAACCCGGCCCTTTTGTTACATGCAACGATCAAACTGTTGAATCATTGAACTGAGCATGTCCTTCCTTCGGACATGCTCCGTTTTAAGCTCCTTGGATGGCCCTGGCAGGTTGCCCAGGGTAATTTCCCCCCGGGTTTCGCCCGTTCTTCGACCAGTGAAGTGGCAGGCTTCGATGAGGCGGCCTCCGTTGGACAAGCTCAGCTGGGGCAGCACATGTCCGGACCCCCCCAGTCTGTGAAGCGCTGGGGTGAAGGGCCGAAGGAAGGTCTGCTCCGCTGGGAGCCAGGAGAGGATCGACACCGAACGAGCCGGAGCTGGGGAAGATTTCGGGGGGGGATTTGGCGGAGGCTCAGGATTTTCGGTCTCAGGTTGGTGCCAAGGCTTCGTCCTTGCCTGTATATATGACTGCATGACACGTGGATTGTTGGTAGGAGGGTGGAAGACAACGGCCGGTCTTATCCCTCTCAGCTGGGGCATGTCCTCGTCACCAGGTCGACTGAAAATACCGAAGCAAGTCCACCAGCCATGTCGACCTTCTCAATCCATGGTCCAATTCGGACCTTTTGAGGCAGAGCCAATTGAAGAATCTCTTGGATGCGGCTGCTGATACCCCACGCCCGGGAGCCATAGCGGTGCTCGAGCGCCCGCGGTGCACGGCACGGAGTGCTGGTGGGCCATGGGGGCCTTGCACGGCACGGCTTGGGCTTCATGGTTGGTGTCAATGACCAAAGTCGAACAATGGTGAATGGACCCCCACATTCTGGGCACTTGATTGCTCACATTGAAAAAGAGGTAATAGAAGAGATGGTCCAGACGCTTCTTTCTTAGTGTTTTGTGGTGGATCCAAATTAGACAGCATGCCAATGTACGTCATTTGTGTGTGTGGCTCTTGGCTTGCCGTATCGATCTAGCTCCCATCTTCCTCTCCACTGTGCTCTCAGGTCCTTTGGGAAGTCCCTTGGGCAATTCTGGCACCGCGGCCTTCTCTCCTCAGGCCGATCTACTACAGCGCCGAACGCCGACCCTTCAATTCCCAACATGATGCGAGATGACGAGAGATGGAAGAACCAGAATCACCCATTGACTCGGCGTTCCTTTTCACATATATGTTGGGGCCATACGCCACGCCGCGTAAAACGTGTCGACTACCCCTTCATCGTCGTGGCGCGAGGACGGCATCGCCTTCCCTTTAGGCCACCCCATTCCATCCCTTCCCATCCCGTCGCATCCATCGAACCTTCACCGAACCCCACCCGAACCCCAACGGCCAGGTGAGAGGCTCGTCGTCTCCGAAGGCGCAAGCGGCGCTGGTGCGGAGCTGCGAGCTGCGCGCGCCCGGGCGCGGAGCCCGAGCGGTGGCGGTTTGAGGACCGGGGGGGGGGACCGAATGCCCAGGGATCATGGACCTTTTCAGGACCATTTATCAAAGGGTGGTGTTGTATGGTGTTGTTCTTTTTTGTTCTCAATGGTGTTGGGATAGAGCTTTCATCATTTGAAGCACCGCGAGAATCGAATATATTATATATTATTGCACGTATATTTTGGGGTCCACCAGATGTTCAAGTAGAGTGACTTCAACGACTTTTGTCTTTGAGAAAGGACCTTTGGTGAAGCGAGGCTGACCTTGAGAGTGCAGTCATGACTCAGTGGAAAAAGTCCCCCGAAGGAGTCGATGATCAGTGGGGTAGTTCATGAATCGGACGTTCTCCAGAACTGAACGTTGCAATGACTCAGGCAGTCCTGATCCACCACTGACTGGTGGGGTTGATCGTCTGGACGCTTCCAGGGCTGCCCCGCTTCCAGTTCCAGCTCTGCGCAGCGAATAGCGCTGTCCGTGGCTTCCAGGGGTTCCTTTCCGCTCCGAGGCCCGAGTACCAGGGCCCCAAGTTGGAGCCCGAGGCCACCGTGACCTTGGACTTTGCCTCTCGGCGAACACTCGCCTTCTGCGCGCTGTGCGCAGACAACCACCCGGTGCTGGACTCTGGGTCGGATGGATGGATGCTGGGCTCTGACCTGTATGGCCAACACCGACCTATGGCACATGGAAAATGAGATGTCGATCTTTTGGAATCTGCAACACATTTTCAGTCTGTCTCAGGGTTGCTTTTGGAAGAGCATTGAAGAGCATTCAGCTGAATGATGTGGGAGATGGGAGAAGGAGTCAGAGTCAGAGTTTTTGCATACGTCGGTCGTCCCTTGCAGACGTCCCCTCAAGAGAGCTTTCGCTTTCCTCTTGGGGACTTGAAGACTTGGAAGATGCCATTTTTGTGGGCTGAGATCAGGCCACAGTGGTTGTTCATCCTACCCACCCGGCAGTGGGTAGTCATTTCCTCCCACCCGGTGTCGAGTGTGCTCGACCGTGTGCTCGCCCATCTGACCGACGCGATCTGCGAGGTGATGTCTCTGGTGAGACATTTCCAACACCAAAGGAACGTTTGGGGGGCTCAGGTGAGACATTTCGTTCGCTTTCTCTTCAGGTCCAAGAGATTGGAATTGAAGGTGATGATGGAGAAAAACAATTCACATCTGCACTTCTCTCGTTTTTTCACGAGAAGAGAGAGACAGACAGAAAAAAAAGGTAAAGAGGTAGAGAGGCAGAGAGGAGAGGTGCAACCGCTGAAAAGAGACCTGAGAAACAACCCGCATGGCCGCGTCCAAGGTGCCGCTCCCAGCACGGTACCTCTGCAGGTTGGGACACCAATTGGGCGGTTGGGGCGCGCAACGGGCGGTTGGGCTGGGGATGTTGGGGTAAACGATCCTTGCCTGAAAAGCCACCATTGTGAATCAGAGTCTTTAGTGAAGAACCATTGTTGGTGGAACTCCGGAAGTCTAGACACCTAAGCTTCAGACGAGACACGTGAGACACTGGCTGAGACCGGACTTGGAAAGGATTCCGGGAAAAAGCCCAAGACGAGACTGTCGCCCGGAGGCTTTTGGAGGATGCTGAGAAGATCCTCGAGATTCGGGACCGGCGAATGGGGCAAATGCTTGGAAGGTTGCCTGTCTGGAGAAGCTTCAATGAGGTTTCATGATGCGCACTAGCAATATCCACTGCCTACACCATGTGCATATCGGTAAATACGGTTTTTCAATCTGACTGACTCATTAGTAGATAAGACTTGCTGCTGTTGGTCACAGGGATTCGCGCACAGCGCGCGCTTGCGAGGACAAAGATGGCCCTGTACATCAGTTAAGTCTGTGGCATCCTCAGCCCGGCACGTGGCCAAGCGGCTAGCGACGTGTCCCTGTACATCAGCACGTCGCACGAAGAAACTGCTCGAACTCGGAGGATCCCAAGGGTAGGCCCAAAACGACGCAGACGCTGACGCTGCTAACGTTTTGGAGCCGTGACAATGAATCCCCTGTTAGTAAAGAGTATTCTCATCTAGACGTTGCAGTTTATTTTCAGGGTCGTATTGTTTTGTGCATTGGAAAAGCACATGCCCATTCTTCATCTTGACCTGAATCAATGAGCGCCTCCGCACCAACTCCAAATAGAAAACTGACTTCAATCTTCACCGTGACCCAAACTGCTCTTGCTACATCTCCCCCAAAAAAGCGACAGCCCAACCGCACCAACTCCACGCAACAAGCGGAGCCGCGCGCGCCACACGCACAACTCCAAGCGACCAAGGGCCAGCAAGCCGTCCAGACGGCCCCACGAGACAGAGAACTTGGTCATCGTCGGGGACGGGTCGACCGGGCATCGAACGGGCCACGGTGGGTGGGGGCGTCGGTGGTCGGTGGGAAGGAGGACGGAAGGAGGACGGTGGGGGCGACGTAGGCTGACGGCTGACGGTGTGACGGGACGTAGGCAGCAAAGACCTCGCCACCAGGCCGTTTGAGGTGTTCTAGGGTGTTCTTCAAACATGCCTGGCAATCGTTTGCACACGGAAGAAAGTGAAGTTAGAATGCACACCAACGTGAAGACTAAATGAACAGCTGCTGCTCCAGGACCTCCATGGACAGCTTGCAGACTTGCTTTGGATCTTTTTCAAGGCGACATCAAGTCACTGAAGAGAATCATCAAAGAACATCCCTCGTCATGTATCAATGATCATCAATGTCTGCTAGTCTCTCCCACTTGTGGATGTGAGGAACTCTACTTTTCCTCTACTCTCAGTCCATGGCCGGCATGTCAACCCGGTCCTCCGTGCGATGACGGCGATGCGCAAGCGCGCCCCAGGTGGGCGTCCCTTCACCGAACAATCGTTTCTTGGTGAATGGCGACATCTGCGACCGCGGGGAGAATGCCACGGAGATTTGGGCCCTGCTGTCGGCACCCGAGCAGGAGAGGGTACAACGACCGGAGGATGGCCAGTTCATGGCGGTCAGAGGTCAGACTTGTTCGAAAGAGAAGACATTTGTCGAACTCCAGCGACATTTGACTTGATAGAATCGCTTAGAACTCTTTTTTGTTCGGGAGAGAATTCGGGCGCCGCTTTCCAGCGAAGCAAGGCACTGCCTGCTGTGTGGTCGACTGGATCTTTTCTGTCATCGAAGCTCCGAGGTTTGCCTTTATGTCCTTGTGGCCCGAATCGATCTACGTCCACCGGGGCAACCACGAGGAGCGACCCGGAAAGCGGACAGCGCGGGAGGAACAGCCGCAGTTCGGAGAAACAGAAGCCCGGTCAATCTGGTTTGAGTCAATTCATCTGCATGGTTTTCTTCATTTGTAAGTTGGATCGTTTTTTTTTGCATGCACCTTTGACGAAGTGAGTTCGCCCTCGGGAGATCTGCGAAGACCGCAACTGCGAGGATCGGCTGCTGAACATGGACTATCATTGTGGAGGCTTCTATGATGAGGCGCTGGGCTCCTGGGCGTGCTTCCAGTGTGAGACACGAAGCGGGCCGCTGTTTTGATAGGAAGTTTCATCTCCAATTCTTGGATGGAAAAAGGTCCAACATCGAGGGCACGCTTTCTCCCCAGCGGGGCGTTGCTGCACGATGAGCCAACTGTCGCCAACTGTCGGGGCCGCCGCGCCGCTTCGAAAAGCGGTTGTGGTTTTCAGGTGCTGAGAAAGTATGGCCGCCAGGGAACGGGGCAAATGGCCTGGAGCCGAGTTTCCTCCAGAGATGGCCTGGATCAATGGAGGATCTATGTTCAATATATGTTTCATATCATTCATCAGTTGATTTGTCTTCTTCTCCTCGCAGAAGAACCTCATGGTTTCCAATGACACGGTCCTGTGGTCCTCGCGTGCCTAATGCGAAAGCCCAGATCTATGAGAAGTTCGGACGGATCTTTGCACGCCTACCGTTGGCATCTGTGATTGACAATCAGGCCGGGGCGATTGACCATCAGGACTCTGGGTGAATGTTTGGTAGGCGAACTAGAACCATGAGTTCCATGAGTTCCATGTGGGGATGGGGATAGATCCATCCGTCCCAGATCTGAGTGGCACCCCCGACTTCCCTTCATGGATAGAGCTCCCAGCCTCGTCTTCCCCGGCCTGGTCTTCGATGTCTCCGCTCACGGATCCTACTGGATCAGGAAAGACGAAGCCGAACGACGACCGGAGGAATCGATGGGTCACCTGGTAGGAACCAGGATCCACTAGTAGCGATGGCCAACCTAGCGATGGATCCACTGAAGGAGTGGAAATGACCCACCAACACGGGTGGATCGGCCAGATCTTCGTGGTGCACGGCGGGCTTTCTCGTGGTGCGCCCGGCAGCTTCTTGCGCTTGTGTGGTGGCCTGGGTTTGGACATGTCCTGAGTCCAACACGTCGGGAGATGTTCCATCATAGTCATGAGTAATTATGGTCCATGTCTCCAGAAAGAAGAAGAAGAAGAAGAAGAAGAGGAAGAGGAAGAAGAAGGGGAAGAAGAGTCTCAAACATGTTGGAAGAAAAGCAGCGTTTTCATGTCAACCTTCAAAAGGCGACCCATTTAACTTGCTCTTTGACCCGAACGCCTTCTCTTCCGTATCTTCCCTTCGCTTCGCCCAGGCTCCGCGCCAATCGGACGCGCAATCCCGAGGCCGAAAGAACAAACATGCAGACGTGTCAACGTCCTGAAAGAGAGAGCATTGATACAACACTCACTGTAGTATACTTGTTACTTATACTTATATAGATCTTTTATATGCTAGTTTGATGTTCTTTACCAATTAAAGTCTGTAGACCTACCAACGATCTCATTCCCATCTTCCACCTCCCACTTCACACCCTCCTCTTGGCCGTTTCCGCCGTTCTTCAGATTCCCTCGGCATCCATGGGTGCCTCGGCGGTGGACCTCGCCTTCATCGATGCCATGTGGGCCGATCCCCAGGAACTCCGCTGGGTGGAACGGTGGAGGAGGGACACAGGTGGTGAAGACCGGTGGAGGAGGTCGTTGAACGGTTTGACCTGTTGTTTTTCGGTTGAGGAGGTGCTTTGCTTCCTCCGGCGCTGCGAATGGGAAAGTGAACGATGCGAATGCTATTTCGCTCGCTCGCACGCGGCTTCGGACTAAGGTCATGCAGGATCATGCAAGCTAAGATTCAAAGAGAACATGACCTGTTGGCGTAGATAAAGCCATACCTAGATCCTTCAACCATCACGACCTCTCCACCAGACTCTCTGTGTTTCAGGAGTATCCCGGCTCCAGCCAGAACCCCCGCGGCCCCGGCCTCTCCGCGCCCGGGCGGCCCAGTTTCACGCCGACCGACCGCCCTCCGTCCGCCCCTCCGTCCGCCGTCGGGCGCGCCGAGGTTCGGTCCGGACGTCACGGAGCGGTTCCTGGCCGAGACGGGCTATGCCCTGGTGGTGCGGTCCCATCAGGACGGGGACGGAGGGAGGAGGGTGGAGGAGGGTGGAGAGAGAAGAACACCGAAAGAAGGCCCGAAGACGGGCGTTTTAGATGTTGGACAGGGGTTGGAGGATGGGAAGAGGTGGCTTGCGCCCCGCCTTTTGAGCTGGACTGGGGTGGATGGACTGGGCGGGGAGTGGAAAGATGGGGGAGGGGAAGGTGGGTTGAGTCTGAAAGAAGCAATCTGGAGTGTACATGAAAGAGGCTCCAACCAATATATAGGTCTTTAATAGGTACAGCGACGTATATAACAGAGTTACCGGCAGAAAAAGAACACCAGAAGTGATCCAATAGGCGTGATTGTCTTTTGACTCTTGAACAGGCTTCCAACCAGACAGGTTCCCGACCACCATGTGACGGGCGACAGGTGCCTCCGAACAATGATGGCTTCTACGTGCATCATAAAGGTGGGCCTCCCCAGCGGAGGGATCTTGAAGAGCCGAACGGCAGGATGTTCGGCAGCGATCGATCTCGGAATCGTGTACCCTGAAGCTTCCGGGGCGTTTCGCCGTGACAGGGGAAGACATGACATAAGAGTTTTGGATGTTTTCATCTGCTGAGTTTTCAATGGATGGGACATCGATGTTTTCCATCGGATGTTTGATGCTCAAAAAAAACCACTTCTTCACGAAGTTGTGACATGCTTTTCTTCGACCCAAGCATGACGACCCTGCTTGAACTCTGCGGAACAGCGGGTTACGACCTCTGCGGAGTTGATCCGATGTCTGAGGAAAGCTCTTCACGGTGTTTAGTGCTTCCAACTACTGTGGTCTCACAGGCGGGGCGGAGAGGTTTGCGTTGGAGAAGACCGGCTGTGGGGGGCCGGCTGGTGGGGCTCCAGTTCTTTTGACCTGAAGTGTTGGTACTTCTTCTTTCATCCATTTTACTATATATAATAAACAGTAATAGTAATAGTAATAACACTAATATATATATATATATACACTCTTTGATGCTCTTTCCTTGTTCTTTTGGGATTGCATGTTTCAGCACACTGTTGGCACCTTTGTGCCCACAGACCCCTTGTGTGCTGAGGTAATCAAGGAGCGGTGCTGGTCGTCAAGAAAGACAGTTCGAACCTCGTGAACTGTGCCAAGTCTTGCAGGAGTTTTGGCCTGTTTATATCTACTTAGTGTGCTCCATACTATGTAATATATATCATATCCAAACCTGTTCATTGAGTTCATTGTTTTCCAGGTTCAATTGCTGTTTGTTCTTGCCCTTTATTCCAGCGTATCTTCCTCCGAGCGTGCCGCTCTGGCCTCCTGCGCCACGGGCCGCGCGCCGCGCGCCGCGTTGGCTCGCTCGAGGCCAGATCGAGGCGGTGAGGCACATGGCACCGCCCTTCGAAGCCTTGCAGGAGGTCACCATCGAGGCGGCGGTGGATCGCCGCTGGGGGGGGGGGTTCGGAGAGGAGGGCGAGGAGGGCGAGGAGGGCGAGGTCGGATGGTCAAGACCAAATGCCTAGTGTTTCTGTAGAGGGTGCAAGGAAGAGTTAGGGAGAGGAAACAGATTTTTTGGGTAAACCTGCAGAATTGGAATGGGAAGGAAGCAAACTTCATGAGTCATTCTAAAGACATTTTGCGAGTGTTCAATGCACTGCTACGGCTGAAGCTCAGCGGCTGAAGCTCACCAATATGAAGCTCACGCCATTGATTTGTCATTGCGATGCGGTGCCACCCTAGTTCTTCTATTTCGCTCAGGCACCAGAGGTCGCAGATGCCTGGATCACAGTCTTTGTTCAAAGGCAAGCTGATGAGACCTTGCAGTTCTGAAGACGGATTCAATTTGGAATAACTTCTATTCTAGTGATTCTAGTGATATCGAATCTACCAACTACTTTGGGAGCTACTTTCTAGTCATTCGGCTTGTGGCTTTTGATTCACCTGCCGCGGCACCACGACACTCCGAGGAAACCCCTGCGGCGGTGCGGCGCACGCGACAGCTTCAACGACAGTCGACGGCTTCTGGGCCAAACAAAACATGCAAATCACATGGTTATGGGGTTTCCATGGGGTTTCCATCAATGGGAGAAACCCCAAATCATCAATTTTAATGGGTTGCTTAATATTAATATGTAACCCATTCGTTTTGGGGCACTCCCATTTATGGACACCTCCATTTCCTGAGCCCATTTAGGTGTCATAAGTCTAGTCAACGTAGTCAATGAGTGTGTTGCTATTTTTTTGTGCTCCATGTTGCCTAGCCAGGCTGTCCGAGTACTGCTCAGGCTGGCCAAGTGGAGCTGCGCGAAGCACAGGCGTCGCTAAAAGATGAGGAGCGCGCGCAGAAGATGTACCAAGAGGCGGGCTGTGCCGCGAGCAGCTGAGCGGGCAGGGAGTCATGGTCCATCAAGCACCCAATGGTCCTGGCCTCCAGGCCTTGCGGAGCCAAACATCGCTCAGTCCTAGTCCTAGTCCTAACCCCACAGTGAGTCCATGCACATCAGCAAAAGAAGGACTCCACGTCTCAATAAGAAAGAAGGACTAGAGGAAGCTACTAGGTTGGAGGCCATCGCTATTAGGGTGGAGGCCATTACTACTAGTAACAAGAAGCTTCTTGGTATGTCTTTGATCGCTACGAGAGACCAAGACTTGGACGCATGGAGATCAGAGACCTTCCAGGTCTTCCATCACGCCTCACGCTGGGTGGTGGAAAAGAAAGCCGAGCTCTTCTCGTTTTGGGAGTCCGGCGTCTTAGGGGGGGCGAGTGGCGAGGGGCGTCTTTTCGTCTTCAACGGATCTTGGGAGGAACGGAAACAGATGGCTTTTGCAAACTTGTTTCTAATAGCTTTCTTGTTTCTACTAGTAACAAGTGCCTCGCTACTAGTAACAAGTGCCCGCTAGTAGTAACAAGTGCCTTACTACTAGTAACAAAAAGCTATTAGAATTAATAAAAAATCAAATTAAATTAACTAATAGCTTTCTTGTTACTACTAGTAACAAGTGCCTCGCTAGTAGTAACAAGTGCCTTACTACTAGTAACAAAAAGCTATTAGAATTAATATAAAATCAAATTAAATTAACTAATAGCTTTCTTGTTACTACTAGTAACAAGTGCCTCGCTAGTAGTAACAAGTGCCTTACTACTAGTAACAAAAAGCTATTAGAATTAATATAAAAGCAAATTAAATTAACTAATAGCTTTCTTGTTACTACTAGTAACAAGTGCCTCGCTAGTAGTAACAAGTGCCTTACTACTAGTAACAAAAAGCTATTAGAATTAATATAAAATCAAATTAAATTAACTAATAGCTTTCTTGTTTCTACTAGTAACAAGTGCCTCGCTAGTAGTAACAAGTGCCTTACTACTAGTAACAAAAAGCTATTAGAATTAATATAAAATCAAATTAAATTAACTAATAGCTTCTTGTTACTACTAGTAAGGCACTTGTTACTACTAGCAATGCACTTGTTACTACTACGAAGCGACTCCAATCGCCGCACCGAGGCAGTGCGAATCTTCACCGCGCCTCGGCTGACGACGAGCCGCGGCGAAGCGGCGCCGTGCCGTGCCGCTCCGCGCGGTGCCGACGAGCTCCGCGCGAGGCCCAAAGGCTTCATCACCAAGCGCGAGTGGGAGGTGTGGCGACCAGTGGCGGCCGGCGGACGTCTTTTTATTTTTTTTTTCCGGTCGTGCCTTTGGGTTTTTGCCACAGAAAAGCTTCGGGTCAGTTCTGTTAGCCCTTCTGAAAGTTCATATATTGTTATGTGCTGAATCTATGGCATGAGCATTTATGAGCTAGGCTGCGAAAGGGATATAAAGGGATTGCTTTGAAGTTGCTGCGGAATGTGTTCAACTCGCCTTTGCCAGCGCTGCTTGCAGCTGGCGCTGGGCCAAGGGCTGCATGGTAAGGTAACGACAGGAAGATGATGAAATGCACTCCAGCAATCTGCCACGAACGCGACCACATCTAAAAGAAAGCTTTCTTTGCATATGCCATATGGTCGAAGCCAGTAGCAGCAACATGCACCGAATTAAAACAAGCCATTGTGGAACGCAGGCCCTCGCCCAGCTGAAGCATCAGTTGAACTTTCGAGCCCCTGCTTCCAAGCAAACAAATCAACAATGGATGCAAGACTTGATATGCCTACATCCTCGGATAAGTCGAGCAAAGGTGGGCTTGTGCACCTAACGGCTGAGTATGGTCCTCTAGCCATGCGCTCGCACACTCCAAACAAAAATATAAACGGGAACAGCAGCATAGACATAGCTGACCCGCCGCGGTCAGGTTTGGAAAACAAGCGCGGAATTTCAAATTGCATACGTGCCACGGTATTCCTGCGGGCGCGCGCGCAGGCCATCACATTGGCACTTCCTACGCCCTGCGCATTTGCACAGCTCTCCTCGCATGTCCTTCAGGTAATCTCCGAAGCTTTGTAGAGTCGTTCGAGAACCACCACTACTTCCTCCCTGGTTGACCTGCATGTACTTCGAGTAGTCTCCGAAGCTTCGAAGGGTCATTTGAAAGCCACCATTCAAGGTGTTTTCACTGCTTGTTCTCTCGTTGCCCTCCATGTACTTCGAGTAGTCCCTGAAGCT